TATATATATATATATATATATATATATATACACACATATATATATACACATATATATACATATATATACATATATATACATATATATATATACACACGTGTATGGTATTCAGGTTTGTTCGGGTATTTTCCCACGTCATTATAGTTGTGCTTGTAAAATTGTAGCAACGTTTCGGCAGAATCTCATCTGCCATCATCAGGCTTCTGTATTGTGTTCGTCTGTGAGTCAGACTTTTACAGTTGTTTCAGTTTTAAATTTGGCACTAAAAGCCTCCAATACAGGAACACAATATTGCTAGCCAACCAAGACAAAAAAAAACCACAAACCAGACAGAAGATATTAGAAACACCAATCAAGCAGAACACAGCAAACTCCAAGACCAATAAACACAGACCAAGACTCCCAACCAATCAGGATGAAGAAAAAACCATTCTGGCACAGCGGTAGGCTAGCCCCAAATTTAAAACTGGAACAACTGTAAAAGTCTGACTCACAGACGAACACAATACAGAAGCCTGATGATGGCAGATGAGATTCTGCCGAAACGTTGCTACAACTTTAAAAGCACAACTATAATGACGTGGGAAAATACTCGAACAAAGCTGAATACCATACATGTAAGTACCCGCAAAAACTTAAGAATATATATTATGTATATATATATATATATATATATATATATATATATATATATATATATATATACACACACACACACACACACACACATACATACATACATACATACACACAGATATACAAAATATATAACTACAGTATATATGGATATACAGAATATCTATGAATATACAGAATATATGTCTATGGAAGGAATATATATGACTGTACAGAGTGTTTATGAACATATTGAATGTAAGTATAATAAACAGAGAGTTTATACAAGATATATATTATCAGTGGAAGTATCAGTGTGTGTGAGGGGGGATAGACGAGTTGAGGAGTTCAGTAAAGAGACCGTTGTATGGTAGAAGTTGTTCCTTAGCCTGCTGGTCTTGGGCTGCAGGCACCTGAACCTCTTCCCAGATGGAAGAAGGGTAAACAGTTTATGGGCTGGATGGGAGGAGTCCTTAACAATGTTGTGGGCTTTTCGCAGACATCGTTTCCTCTGAATGTCCATAATGGCAGGAAGTGGGATCTCTATAATGTGTTGGGCGGTTTTCACCACCCTCTGTAATGCCTTCTTTTCTTTAATGGTGCAATTTCCATACCAGACTAAGATACAGCTGGTTAGGATGCTCTCGACTGCACAGCGGTAGAATTTGATCAGAATAGTTGGGGAAAGGTGTTTCTTCCTCAGTAATCTCAGAAAGAAGAGGTGCTGGTGAGCTTTCTTGATCAGGCTGGTGGTGTTGATCTGCCAGGACATAGCATTATTCAACACCCAGGGCTGGATTTCAGCATGCATTTTCCAGTAAACCTTTCCCCTAAGCAGATATATTCTGGTGTTTTTTTTTAATTGATTAAATGGTGCTTGACTGAATCACAGTTTTTAATTTGCATTAGCATTCCCTAGTTTTCCGCTGACCTGAAGAGTAATTGCTGTACATATAACAGTCCTCTGATGCTTCCTTGATAATGAAATCATTTATATTGGCTCTTTTGAAGTCATCCTAAGTGATACATCAAAGTCCTAGTGTGTTATCAGAATCAGAATTTCCCATTTAGAGCTCCAAATGAGCAGAGTTCCCAAATCCAGATGGCTGAAAAGTACCCTTTTCTATTCTTCCAACTTCATATATTCTAGATATTTTTCAGTTTAATTTTAATTGAGCAAATTTGTATTAATAATTTCCTTTAAAAGTACACACTATTATTTCATCCACGTTTCCTAAGTTCTCGGTTATTATTGATTCAGGATGAAAAAAAAAGAAGTAGATTTGAGATTGAAGCTGGATTTGCAAAGGAACAAGACTAACACCCTCAATTCTTAGATTAGTCGACATCATGTGATACACCATATGTGTTAACACAGTTAGTCTTTTCTTCATAATTACGGTTAGAAATGCATTTTTGGATATGAAATCTAAGACATCTCAACCCACTCGAGGAAACATGATTCTAGACATATGGAATGCACTGTTAGAAACAATAATTCCTTAGTATTGTGATGTGAATGGTGCACAGCACAGTGTGAATTTGTGGCCAAAACATTTTCCAGAATATGGAGAAATGAGAGCATGCACTCTCATTTTGATCTGGCAAGTTGGAAAGGAAAGAATTAGATTTTCATAATCAGATGCAAGGCTGCTGGATTGCCGACTAAGTTTAGCACACTCATCTGAGACATCTAATCAATTGGTCAAATGACTCCCACGTGAGACTTGTTTTTTGTATCTAAACTTCATTCTCATAGTCTTCATGAAATATGAAGTGATAAAGCGGCTGAAAATAGAAGAATATGAAACACGTCTCAGTCTTCTCCAACCTGGTACTTTTCTGCTATATTAGAAACTAAAATCCATATTGTGTTGCAATTGTGAGAGTTGCACCCCCAATATATCCGGAGGGCTATCCTCATCCCTCAGAGGGCAGCATTATTTTCTCTTATTTTAATCAGTGGTTGGAAGATGTTAGGTTCATGTTTTTATATTCGTATGCACAGTAAACCTGGTATAGACAAATCCTTTTAGGCTGTGTTGAAAGAAATATCCTTCTGGGTTCAGTTCCAAGTGGGGGAAAAGACACTGGAAACATGGAGGCTGTTTCGAAGGTTTAATATCAGGACCACATGGCTTGGAGGTCCAGGGTGAAAAGGAAGAGATCAAGAAAAAAGGGACTGAGGTGCTGAAAGTGCCTGTGTTTTATACCCTCTGTTGGGATTTGAATTGGAGCTTGTATTCTAATTGGTTGTCAGACTCCCATGAGGGGCAACTCTGTAGGCTGTCCTGAGTTCCAGGCTTGGTTGAGCCTTGCTGGATGATTTATGCCCTTAAAAGGGCTTTTGGCAATTGCTATAGCTTTACCTGAAGATTTTTGTTATGTAAAGTATTCTGGCCCAGGCCTTAATAGCCGACCCATTAACAAAGGTGGGGGTGAGTTTCTGCTTCTGAGTTTCTACTCTTTTTAGAGGAAATATTCTGCCTTTTTAATATTTCCTAGGCTATTTCAATTTTCTAGGAGACAAGTGGGTGCTAACTTCCTACAACTGGTAAAGGCATTTGAAATTTCAAATGTGGTTGCTATCATAATTAATTAGCCAAAAGGAGAGTCTTGTACAATTTTAAAACAAGACAATTTTGCCATTTTTTTTTCATCTGGCTTTCTTTTTAACTTTTTCAGAAAGGCTGCTTTCCCCAATTTTTTTTCAAACTATGAATAGCCTTGGGTCATACGAGTTCTACAAATGCTGGGCAAATCAGAGTGCATGATTAGTTTCAGTCTTTTTATTATTTTTCCCTTCACTATATTTCTTCCAGGTTTTTTGGAAAGAAAACTAAAATAACTCAAATTTGAATATAGGGATGGGTTATTTTAATTTACATCTTGATGGTAGTTTATTCTTTTTCCTTTACAATAATTATCTGACCACATCATGTTTTGTGTCAGCAGACTGTTATATTGTATGGTGAGGTGATTACTTAAAGTTAGAAGAGAGAAGTTTATGATGAACCAACAGAAATATTCATAGTACAAATTATGGATGCAAGCTTTCAGATTAAAAGTCAGTATATGTGCTCACTAATAGTGTTAAAACTCTTGTTGCTTACTATCACTTACTCGTTCTATAGTGGTTATTGGACTACATAACACTATATGGTCACTTGGTCATTGTTTGGTCAAATAATCATTCCAAATAAAAAAAGAAAACAGGTGTCTATGAGAGCGGTAGCAAAACTTGTACTTTGATGTGCAAACAGTATACTGAGGATTAATGATATTCCCTTCCCACCTGAATTCTGAAGAAAATTGTATCATCATCCATTCTTTTCTTCTGGAACTTTGAAGCCTGCCTTCTGCATTTCATATTGGGAATCTCAATCTTTCTGCATAACATTATAACCTGTGAGCATAAAACAAGGTTTCCATTCATTGTGCTGGTATTCCACAGCCCTGAACTGTTAAAAAAAAAAAAAAAAAAAGCTAGGATGGGCAATGGGGAAGAAACATTCAAAACTGGTTTCGGGGTCGATACTATTCTGCATTGTGTCATAAAAATCTTTACAATCATCCATCCATATTCACACATCCATACAGATACATAGATAGCCTTCAGAGCTTTTCTCTATTTTGTAAAAGGCAATGGCTAAAGGATCATGGCACAGGAAGGCCAGCAAATGTAGGCTAAGTCTCTTATCTACAGTTACCTTAACTGTAGTTGTATGAAGGGAAAAAACAGAATAGACCTCAAACTGATTTAGAAATTTCATGTAGATGTTAAACAGGGGAGGGGGTGAGAGGAATGGAATTATGGGGAACAGTTGACCTTTGCCCTAAAACACTCAGAACCAGGCAAAGTTTTTAAAATCAATGATTCAATATTTGAAAAAGGTTTAAATAATTATACCCACTTTTGATGAAGGCTATCAAAAATTTTATGGTCCTTATGTTGCTGTCGATCAATCCCTTAAAACCGAAAATTCACTACTAAAAATAAACATTCTTATACATGATTTACTAAATGAGGAGTCTATCAAACAAAACAATTTCTTAACAGACATTGCAATACTTGGAAGAACCGTAATCACTGAACAGCGGGAAGGCCACTGTCCTTTCTGTGAAGGCTCCATCTTGCAGATGTTTCCATAAAGGTTCTTTTTGTCTTTTGTCTTTATGAGCCACTTCATCAATAATTGCTGAAAAACACTGTCACAGGTGCTACATGTCCCATATGTCACTCTCATAATCAATACTATGTTAATTTTATGCAGGGCAGACTCAGAATGATTCTATATTGTTCAATGATTCTTCAGTGTCGAAAACTTTCATTCCAGAGGTTAGAGAACAATTTTGTTCCTTAAATCCTTAACATGAGGAGAGTTTTATTTTGGTGTCTTTGGTTTACAGGACCGCTGGTGGACAATCAGTCTGTCTGGCAGGAAGGTACGGCCGCAAATATCACATGGAACTAGCTGGCTCTGGGCGCTTTGCCAAGCAGACTCATTTAAAGCATCAAGATCATAGTAACCTTTGGCTGGAAAAATTTAAAAGAGAGAAAAATATCAGTTTTCATTCTAGAGAGTCATACTCAGTTTTTATGGAAAATAGTTTCAGGAAATACCTGTTGACTGAGCCTTTCAGTTTTAACTAAATCATAGCCCTTATGAGGGAAGAAAAACCCAGAAAAACTCTGCTTGTTGTCTCAGGAGTCACATAAAGCTAACTACAACTGAATAATCTTGTACTTCTGGAGAAACCATTTCAGCATGTGCTGCGTTACACATTCTTAACGTATTTGCCTACCCTTCAAATATCAGACTGTTGTGACCACATCTTTTTTTTTTTTTTTTTAAATCCTGCTTAATGAACCAACATTATCCAACCAAAGGAAAAAATGTGCAGTATTCTCTCACTTTTTCACCCTTGCTGTTTGGGATAAAGAATTCCGCTTAGTTCCAATTTCATTTTTTAAAATGTCTTCAGTGTGACTCAGAGTACTATTAACTCAATGACCCAAAGAACAAAATCAGCAGACATCAGGTTGTCCATTTCGTATCCTTTCCCACAAACAGCAATTTCATCTGCAATTTTATCTGCAATTATTTCAAGATTAAGGCAGCTGGCATGCATTTTAAATGCTATAATTTGCATCAACATCTTTGCTCCTGCCTTTTAGTTAAAAGGGGGATTTCATGCAATTTCTTTTTCAAAGAGCCTTTAGCTGAAGTTTATGCCAGTAGCATCCGAACCTCACATTCTTTATGGCAGAAAAGGATGAAAGAAATCTCAAATAATTTGCTTTTCTCAAAAGAACTGGCATTTGAAAACACAGCTTTTAATGCATTAGCTAGATTTGAAGATACTAAGTGCAAAATTCCTGAAAACAAAAGTTATTTCTGTCAGAGACAAAATAATATCTTTTTTCGATAAGAAGCCATGCACTTCAACTATAATTCATATAAGGGTAAGCTTTTCATCTTTTAATGTGCATGTTCCTAATATACCTCTTTGCTAGATGAGCCATCAACTGTATTCTTTTGGCTGCAGCAATTATATTCCTTTTCAGGAAATGAATGTGCATGCCATATATTTAACATAAAGCAATGTAAAGGAGCACTATGTTGGCCTCTTCTCCTTTCAAAAGTATCTCTCTGGAGGAAGGTATTTTGCAGTTAAAAAGTGAGTGGAGAAAGTGAATGCTTAATCTTTTCCCTGTTAGTTGTGTTTCCCGTTGAAGTTTTCTCCAAAGCTTTCTGTCTCATGTAAAGTTCAGAGTTTCGGATTTATACTTATCTTGCCAGTATGAATCCAGAAGCACTGGAGTTGTGGAGAAAAGGCTGAATATTAAGGATAACATTAAGTACACTATTTCTCCCCACACACACAAACACTAACCCTCCAGCCCCAGCCCTGGCAAAAGAAAAAGCTTTGAATTGCATGCAACTCTTGCATCACATATAGTTTGAACTTTTTGGGAAATAAAAAGTAAAACTGGGGTAACATATTGCATGATTGTTCCTACCCATCTTAAAAGTTCTTCGATATTAGAGGTTCCAAGCATCCAGTTCAGAGATTCAATCCAAAAGCTATTTGATGAATCCATTTAAATTTGTAAATTCAATCTCCATGGTAATTTAAAGTATCAGATAGAGTCAGACACTTCTGAATCAGGTTTTTTTTGGGTGGGGGGGAATGGTACCAACATGGAGATGTTTGATAAGTTTGATAACACATGAGCAAATATACTTTTTCTGAACTGATGCAAAAGTCCACACTGATCTTTTCACACATTAAGCTTGTTCTGAATTTGCATACGCTTGCTAGAAATCTGTGATCGTCTTTCTTATAGCCATCTAAATTTTCATTCCTATGCTTAAGAACAACTAAAACAATTCAAGTATCAATAGAGGGGCACAGAAAGAACCAGCTCCTCATGTGACTTTCAAATATTTTAAAGAAACAACCAGTCTATATAGGATGACTTAGATTTGCAGGAAGGTCTGTTAAGTAAAGATGAAATCCACAGTTGTTTTTTCAAAAATGGCCGTGGAATCTACAATAAATTCCACTATTCTACTTCTGGAAGTCTCCCAGTATCCAGACAACTTCACAAATCTGGGCAAATGTTCAAGGTGTAAAATTTAGCCAGGATTTCATTCTCTAGTTCCCCCAAATTTATAATCTTTCCATAGTTTTTATTGAGTATTTTGAAGGGGGGGTTGCTATGCTCATATCAAACTGTCATAACATTTTTAAAGTAATCTGTTTTTTAGTTTTAAATATATATTACAGTTATGGGTGGGGGAGCCACTGAATAAAATATTTTGGATTTTTTCTGGGATCTGTATCTCATAAGTTCGTCTTAATTATGTCATGATTGTTTCCTGATCCATATGAAGGTCCCTGTTCCATATTAAAAAATTAACTTTTTATAATATTATCTTCAAATGTGGTTCCAAACATAGAGGATGGAAACATTTCATTTAAATGTCCAGGATATTGACTGTGCAATTTGAAGTGTACCTGTTAAAATTTGCTGATGCCTTTGAAACCTACTCTAGAAGCCATATTGTCACAATACTGGCACTGTGAGGCCATGGAACTCATGTATGCCAGAGAATTTGGTGCAGTCTTTCTCAGATTGGTTTCATCCTAAAGAGTTGTTCTTCATCTGTAACCAGCATCTACTTGGCTGGCTTGTTCGTAACTTACCTCCTACAGAACAGACAACTGGCTTTACAGGTTCAGCTCTTCGTAAATGTTTTGGCAGTTGATTGTTCTCAATATGCCATTTTTTCAGACACTGTGGTTCATGGATGCCTATGGAATAGGTTCCATACTCACGGCCACAAATATAACAAATAACTGTAGGAGGTCGCCTTATCATGGGAGACTGCAAACAACAAATGCAGTTAAAAGACAATTGAACTCTTAAAACAAATTAAATTGCAGGAAGGGAGTAATGTTGCATTAAAGAGAACTCTACTGACAATGAAATAGAAAAGCAAGCTCCAAAGTGCATGATAAGGTATTTTAATATTTACAAAACATGGATTCAGAAGTTGGTAATTTCTAATTCGTAGATAAATATTTGTATCAGTTACTGTATTTGTATCAGGCTGATTTTCCAAGCTTTTAAGTGGGTTATTATTTGTTTTTATGAAATCTACTGTGGACATTTCATCAAGGAGATGATAAGAAAACAGTTGAAAGAAAAGTTTACAATGACTGGAAATGGATTTATTCCAGAGGAGTCTGTAGGAGATGCAAGATAACAGCTGCAACCAAGTGACTGTAGCCCCAGGCCATTTTGATGGATGCCAAGTATGTGACACATAAAAAGAGGACAGGTTTGGTCATGAGCTGAGCTGTTCTCTTGACTTTTTTGACCCTCCCCTCAAGATATATCCTCCCCTTATATATCACTTCAGAGTGTTTTACAGATCTCTCAAAATTCTCCTAATCCACAGTTCCCCAACCTTTCCAGCTTTGTGGACTGGCAGGAGGGGAGAGAGGGGATAGTCCCATGTGAATGGCCAGCATGCGCGTTTGTGCAAATGGAGTGCACATGCATGCTCTCATACACTGCTTGTGCAAGTGGGGATGCATGTACATGCTTACCTGCCACTTTCATGGCCCGGTTCCAAATAGCTCATGGCCCAATATTATTATTACCTTTATTGTCAGAGTACACATATGTACAATGAGATTGGCTGAGCCTCCTTTTGTGCACCCCGCACACACAATTCACAATGAGGACAGAAGTCCCTAACCCAGTCCCAGTCTTATTACACTATGTGACCTTGTTGCACAATGTGCCAACCCCTCAAGCTCCTATGTGACTGAATAGTGAGCTACAGCCCAGGGGTTGGGGATCCATGTCCTAGACTGCTTAATAACTTGTAAAAAAATGTTCTCTCGTGTATAATAATAAATCTGGATTGATTTATATTTGTCTAACATTCCTGCAACATTTCCAAGATGGCAACTGCATCCTCCCCATTAACTTAAAATAATTTAAATAATAATTTTACCTTAATAAAAACATTCAGTTCAAATTTATTTTCATTAAAATTAAATAAAAATGACTGAAATCTCGCTTAGTAATCCAGTCTTCTGGGATGTTGGCATTTTCAAATCGCCTAAGATTTGGGGTGAGATGAGATTTCAGAATATGTAATGGAATGCGTGAGGAGGTAGATCCCCAGAAGGGAAGGGTTAAATACCAGAGGAGTAAGAGGCAACTTAGCCCAGATATAATGTATGAGAGAAAGAAGGTGAAGACAGCTCCTCTATGTTAGTTCACAAAATGTATTGTAGATGCAGATAGTACGGTCTTTGGTCTGGCAAGATTTTGTCTAAAGGTGTGAGAATTAAGATTGGGTGAATTGTCATGTATCATTTTGGTTTTTAGGCTTGGGTACAATCACCTAAAATTATGAAAGTTGATACGGTCAGATTTTAGTCATTTAAAATGTGTTGGGGCAGATATGCCAATGCTATTGCATGATGTAAGACAATACATTTGATATTTGAAAAAGTTGCTAGTCCCTTCCATTGCATTAACTCAGGGGTATCAAACTCGCATCGTCACAGCATCATCATGTGACGTATCAGGACTTTCCCCCCCTTCACTAAACCAGGCATGGCTGGGGCCAGCACATGACTCATCCAGCCCGTGGGCTGCGAGTTTGACACCCCTGCATTAAGTAGTACAAATAAACTATAACAAACCTTAATAATTACTGGAGCAGATCTACCTATTCTAACTGGAGTCTTTAACTTGGAGAGATGAGAGAAGATTTTATAAATGCAAGAAGTTCTACTAGACTATATGGCCCTTTCCCCCCAAGATGTGAAGTAATTCCCAGATATTAAAAATAGAAAAGATTCAAAACTACCCTTGAGTGGCAAAAGCGAAGACACATTTTAACCAATGTATTGTACTTGCTAATAGGTTGATAATAGGGACTTTTCAAAGTAGAAATAATCATCCTGCTTTTCACATCATGAAGTTCAATAGTTCAATATTTGAAAGAATTAAATGGCTCAATATTATTCATTCAAGGCAGCAAATCAATTGGTTAAAATATAATGCTAAGAGTTAATTTGTTTTGGGATTCCAGCTCCCCGCTTTCCTGAGTATTGGACTATTGACTTCAGTAGGAAAAAAAAAGTGAGAAAATTGTGGGGATGATGCACAGATGAACTTTCTCCCTCCCGGCTACTCAAAGCCTTGAGGTCCTGTTTCAGAGTCCAAATTATTCTTACTGTTAAACATATTTATTGATTTCCTGGAGTTTTAGCCCTTACATGACAAATGGGAGGGTGGAGGGAGGGAGGGATTAAAAAAATCACATGCATTATAACATCATCACACAAATGACAGGAATTGTGTATTGAATGTCATTTGTGTCATGATGTCATAATGGGACTGCCACAAATTGCAGAACCTTGCAAGATATCTGGTCAATTGTTTAAAATACTGTGGGGAATTCCACTCAGACGTAATATACAATGATATACTTAAGGTATTCAAATCCTTAGAAATCTGCTTTCTTTCAAAGCTCAGGGTTTTCGGGTCCGGTATTGTTTTTTATCTTAAGGGTTTAATAAAAAATAATGATTTGGATGGAAAACATTGTTGAAATTGGTAAGTAGCCAAGGATTATGATCCCACCTTTATTCAATTTTATTCAGTTTCAAAAATGGTTTGCCTAGCATCGTTAGAGAAAAGGGTTCTTCCCTTTGTTAGCACTCCTTGAATTGACCAGGCAATTGTGCTCCCCACCCTCTTAACTTTACCCCAACATTTGTTCAGAATAGTCCCTTTGCAAACAATAAAGTGAAAAGAATTTGATTTGAAGAATTGCATCCAGTGATGATAGCATCTAGCTATTAGCTAAGGATTAAACGGAAAAATATTTCACTCAGCCTTATAAAGAATGAATGTTTGTGTCATATACATGAACCAAAAATGATTTTATCAATTGTCAGTCTTTCTGTATTTTATTTCTCTCTACTTCTTTTATTATCCATTCCCTAGGTGTGTTTGAGTGTGTACACTCTTTTCTTAGAAAAGAATTCCATACATCTGATGATCATAATGTCCAGAATACCCTATGCCTTAATAAATCTTTTTAGATGTTGCCAAATTCTTTGGCAGTTTTAATGCAACAGGGTAACAGAACTATTCCCTGGAAACTGGAAAAAATGAAGCCTTTGTGGCTTCATTTTTTAAAATGATGCAGTTGTATTGGAATTCAAATATGGCTTTCAGGGTGTAATGGTATGTGAGATTGACCTTGGGAGACAGGAGGGAGAGCTGCACACTACCCAACCAGCATGTAAAAGATATGTCAGCCCACAGAAGGAGGGAGGGCATGAGGAATGTATCAGAAGGGATACTTCCTAGATTTCCAGAGATTAAAAGGAAAGAATGGGAGAAATGCTTTTAGTCTTGCAAGATTCTGTTAATGTAGCTCTTCGTTTACAGTGGTACCTTGGTACTCATTGTTAATTGGTTCCAGGAGTGTGATAAGTACCAAAATGATGAATACCAAACAAATTTTCCCCATAAGGAATAATATAACGTCACAAGGTAGCTGACACCAACAAGTTCTAACTCTTGTGTTGACTACCAAACAAACAATGAGTATTGGAACAAAATTTTTGTGTCAAATGTATAGGATACAAAAATTGATAAGTTTCAAAGTGATTGAATACTAAGGTACTAGTGTACTTTATGTTCTGTTATTATTTTGTTACAATAAAGGCAGAGCTAGTATTCCTGACTGTGTTTCTTGAATGCACTACCTCATAGGGCGAACGCAGGGCAAGAAGTATCTCTATATGAGCCCCTCAGTTGCAGTGAGAACATAGAAATACTTCAATTTTTGATGAACAGTGACAGGAAATATCAGAAACAATGTGTATTTTTATTTTGTAAGAGGACATACAACAGAGAAAAGCAGCAGATGGCAGTATCTGATAGTGAAGAAGCAGGGCCAAGGGAATTAAGTGGTTGCCGCATATTGACAAGAAGAGCATCAAAACAAGACATTAGAAGCATTTAGTAGCAACCAAGACAGGAAGTAGGAAAACATTTCCATGGAAGATCACAATTGTTTTTTCTCATTGGAAGAATATATCTCTGGAATGCTTATGCTTACCAAAAAGCTGTCCAAAGCAGGATTCAAGAAGCAGGATATCCAAACAGATCTGTACAGCTTAGGCAAGCAAGCTTTTGATTTTTATTTTAAACTTCAGCACTTTTAATTTTAAAGTTGCTTAGGTTGAGAAACACTGCTTTTCTTGAGGTGCAACAAATAAGCCCATATATTCTTAGCAATTGCATAACGAAACAATTATATTGAACCAACAAGCTCATAATAGAGAAACTGGCTTTTTCTACAGATCAGAAAAGATTTAGTTGGGAATAAATCAGGCCTTGGATAAAAATTCAGTAGAGCATTTTTTTATTGTTCTTGTATGGGAACCATCATTATCTTTAAGAATAGAGTTATGATTGATAACAGTTTAATGTAACCTATGGTTTAAAGGGTTGAGAAGTTTAAAGAATGTCAGAACAAAAGCAATGAAGAAAAGTATGCCTTACAAGAAATCGCTGAAGCAGAAAGATTTTTATTTCCTTAATCCAAGAATATGAAATTATTTCCCCTACATTTTCTGTTAAAGTGCTTCTCATGAACCTCTCAAAAACTGAGTTTAAATACCCTCCCTATTGTCCCAAAGCTGCTTTTTTAGGAGGCAACTGGACTTTCTTGTTTTTTTCTTTTTGAAGACATTTTGTTTCTCATCCAAGAAGTGAAATGTCTTCGAAAGAAAAACCAAGAAAGTCCCGTTGCCTCCATGACCTGGATGACTGAGAATCGCTACAGACAATAATTATTAGATAATTAAATAATCATTAAATAATAATTAGGGGGGGTGCATAAGCGTACCAACGTGCCTACCATCCTATTGTTTCTTTTTTTTCTTATTCGTATTCATTTCATGTATTCATAACCATGTTTATACTTATATCTGTTATCTAACAATTGCTTGACAAAATAAAATAAGTAAAATAAGAAATAACTCCATGTTTCCCTTTTCTGATTAAAGTGCTGACTCATTCCCACAATTGGGACTGTATATTTTCAGTTGTATCCCGTAATTAATGTTGGTATTATATTGTTCAGTAAGAGACATTACCAGGCCAGTCTTTAAAACAGTATATTTCAAACTTAGCAATTTTAAGATGTGTGGACTTCAACTCCCATAATACTTCAGCTGTCTGGCTGGGGAATTCTGGGAGTTGAAGTTCACACATCTTAAAATTGCCAAGTTTGAAAAAAGACTGCTATAGAAGGACCCTGTGGATGGGCCTCCAACTCATTTATTCCTAAAAAAATTTCCAAGCAAATCAGCGAAATAAGCCAAACCTTCTTTTTTAAAGTTAGTATAGATACCATGGGTGCACTTTCAAACAATTCAGTAAAGGAATGTACATTTAAGAACCTAACTCAGTATGGAGAGTAAGGATCCCCAAGGTAGTAAAAGAAAACACTACACTTCTGATTGAATTTTGTGCAGATTCATTAGTTCTGAGAGAAAAGCTCTCAGTTAAGAACCAGTCATTGCTAGATCTACAAGTGCATTCTACTTGCTTGGTTTTGGCTTAGTACTTCCCTAGGTCCGTTTGTGTAAATTCTTTACTTAGAAAAGAACTCCATATATCTGAAGACCATAATGTTATTAGTAGTAATATTTTAAGTAGATGATATAATCATACTATAGCCCATTCTACCTTACTCCATTGTAAAGAAAAGTTATTATTTCTTTGGAAAAGCAAAAGAAGTATTTTTGAATTTATTTCTGGAAGGAAAAAAAGTCCTTTAATAGTAGCTGAAATTTTAAATTTAATTTTTTCCCTATGCACATTCACCCCGAGGGAAACGTAAAGATGGAAATCTTAACAAATTCAATACTTTGCTGATGCTCATAGCTGTTGCTGTATTCCTAAAGGCTGTTTAACAAATATATTTTCTCATTTAATTTTTTTTATAAATCACAGTTAAATGATAACCTCATGAAGGATTCCTTGCATACCCTGCAAGAAGCAACTTATAATCCTCCCTACTTCCCTGCTATGTATCTAGTAATCTAGCACGTGGGATATATGAAAAGACCTAAATGACTTCCATCACAAGGAGAAGTTACATTGCAAGTTAATCTGCCTTTTGAAAAATATTCAACTTTATCCTAGCATGGCTATAGCAATTTCAAATTGCAAAATGTTGTATGTAGTTCATGTTAATTTTTATATTCAAATTCTTTAAATTGGTACCATTGCTACAAAAAACAAACTGTTATGCTAAGTATTCTATCAAAATGGAACAGTATGATTGCACCTTTCTTCTTATTTTCTTCTTATTTTGTCCTAGACCACACCTGATCATTCTGTAGCTTGGAGGCCACATCTGGCCCTTTGGATGTCCCTGTCTGGCCCATGGCAGCAGTGGGGCCCACAGTGTTGGTGGGGGCTGTGGTGGCAGGGGCTACAGTGGTGGGCCTATTGATTCAGCCCTCCATCACAGTCCCAGTTTTGTATTTGGGCCCTTTGGAAAATAAATTGCTCACCCTTTGCCTAGACACAGATCTTGATCTGATCTTCTAAGGTTTTGTTGTTGCTGCCATTTGCTTATAATGTAAAATACTTATTTATATTTTCTGAAATATAACTCTAACATGACCAAAATCAAGAGCGAAGTTTTTACCATTAACTTCAATTCCAGTAGAATATCATCTTGAAGTCTGCACATGAGAACAATGGGAGCCTCTTTCAGCTAGGTATGATGCCTTCTCATTTACCTTGTCTGATGATGATGCCCCATAACCTGTAGATGTAAGCAATTTGGAGTTTGAAGAACCTGGATTAGACTTCAGTTTACAACTCTTTTGATGTACAAGGAGGCGATCTGGGAGGAAAGTGCGACCACAGTTTTGACAGGGTTGAAGCTGAGCTTGAAAACTTTGAGCTGCTGCTTCATTTGCAGCTGCTATACTAGAAGACTTTCCAGGAAGAGCCTGAGGTTTAACAGGTGGTGCTCTTCTGAGATGTTTTGGTAGTTTGTCATTTTCAATATGCCACTTCTCCAGGCATTTTGGTTCATGAATAGGAAGAGATTGTGAACCAAACTCTTTGCCACAGATATAGCACACCCTTAAGCCTGGTCTTCTTGGTGGAATAACTGGTCGATCCCATTGATCCTGAGACATGATTCCAACACTTGGCCTTTTTGATACTGTCACAGTCTTGGGCCTCTTCTTTCCAGTTTTAACAACAGAATTTAAACTCACTACATCTGGTGAAAGTGCAGGAAGCTCTGACCCAATGGATGTTGAGGCCTGTTTTGAAGACAATCTGCTAGGGACATTAGTAATGGTTTTTCCAGAAGTTGGCAGAGTTTTATGATGTTTGCTCAAAGTCTTTTTCATTAAAGCTGTTTCCATGAAAGTTGTAATATTCCATTAGAGTCTCTCTGGACATAAGTAGTTGTGCTTGTTTGAACTTAATCTTCTCTGTGGTTGTCTTTCAGTTGATTTTTAAACACTATGGAGTTATTTGGGATAAAAATATCAGAAATCCCAATCTTAAAGGGTAACTGAGCGAAATCTGACTACATTTGTAGTGCTCTGATGTTTCAATAAGGTTGGTTTATATGTGTTCCTTTTTTTGGATTTTCTGTTTTTTGGGGAAGTGACTTTTTAACTCTAAAAAGAAATATATGAACATGTTTTAATTTTTTTGATTAGACTTTTTTAAAAGATAAAATATCCAAATTAAAGTGATTTTGAAATATCTCATTATTACACTTCTGTCAATTGAGCAGGCCTGGAAACAGCCAGCTGACCACAGTGGAATTTATTTTGAGTATATATACAGTATATTCATGAATGTAGTTGAATCTGTCTTTCAAAGGGCCACTAATGAATAATTTTTTAAAGTCATGCCAGTGTCTTCATACTAGGCAGTATTATTTTGTATTCATAACAAAAATAATCAACATTACAGCATTTGGGTTGAGTCGATTTTAGCAAATTCATAATGAACTTGAAGATCTCCAACACTTTGAGCTGCAGATTTCATCTGCCACACAGCATATAAAATGAAAGAATCTGTCAGCCATTGTAGATGAGTTTTAATAAAGTGGGTAAAGCCATTCTAGTAGGCTGTTCCTTGAATATTCATTTGAAGAAATAACACAATTGAAATATATATCATGGTAACTTTTTTTCTCATCATGAAACTATAATAGTGATAGTAATAATGAAATAGATGTGGTGGAACATGCCGTGAACCTAAGGGCTTCACAGGGTTACAAATGCTATGTTGATTAGGTCATGGAGAAGTAAAATGTGAGATTTATTACAGGATCATTGGGAAGAAACAATGGAAAATATACCTTGTTTTCAGCCTGCTAAGATTTGGTCCATGACTCCAATTTGCATTAATTGATGCATATCAGGATTGAACAAGCTATTTACCATTTAAGGTATTTTTAAGCAATACTGTAGATTCTGGAAAAAAGAATGCTGAATTAATTATAACAATTTGCTGAAAATCAGTTTAGAAAAGAAAAAGTAAACAACTTGATGGCAATGTCTATTATTGGACTTCAAAGTTCTCAATGGGATACAGAATAGATTTATGTTTTATTGTGAGATTACACCATGTGATCTTTTTTTTCCTTTCTGCCAAGTTGGAAGTGACCTGTAAGTTCATATTCATAAATTTGAAAACTGACTCTTATGTTCTCAATCAGTTGCATAACACATAAGTCTTTAAAGATAATCTAAACATTTCTTTATAAAAGACAAGGTGAAGTATTGTTTCTTTTAATGTTAGGATAAAACTAAATAGCCATATATGGTCATCATTTTTCCTTCATACAATACTTGATACATTCAGAAATCCTCAGTGATGCCTTTGATTCACAAAATATACACTTGCAATGGAAATAAATTTTAAAAAATAGACATTCTGGTTCCAAATAAGAGTTGATAGGAACAGAGGAGGTAATCCAAATGCTGTCAGAAGGGGATGCTTTATATTTATAACATTTCATAATGAATGGGTACCTTAGGCTTAAAACTATTCTTTTTTTTATAAAAAAGAGACCCAACTTTTTCCACTTGAATTTAGAAAAATAAGCCATGGTCTTTTAAACATTATCATTATTGTTTACTTCCTGTGTGTGTTTTGGAAGCAACCTCATGCATATTCATATAAGAATATTTGTTTTGTCCATCAGGGCATACCTGCATTGAAATTGAAATTGCTTCTCTCCTCTGCTTCTGTTGGCTTGATTCACTTGAAGGAAATACTGTCTATATTGCTATTATCCTTCTCATCTTTCCTATTACTTTCTCCTATCGATATCTTATAATTTATCATTTGATTCGTATCTTATGATTTATGATTGTATCTTAGGAGTTATGACTTTGCTGTTTGTATGTACACTGAAAACTTGTGCACCAGAGACATTCCTTATGTATCCAATCACACTTGGCCAATAACAAATATTCTATTCTATTCTATTCTATTCTATTCTATTCTATTCTATTCTATTCTATTCTATTCTATTCTATTCTATTCTATTCTATTCTATTCTATTCTACTCTACTCTACTCTATTCCATTCCATTCCATTCCATTCCATTCCATTCTAATTTCCTATTTACAATGGCCAAGAGGTACTTTATAGGCCATAAAGTACCCATTCCCTGGCCACCATACCTATGGTCATTAAGCAACTGGTTCTAAATTAAGGACAACCTATATAATGTAGCACTCATGGGAAGAATAGTTCTAAAAGGTATTACAGATTATCATAAGCAGTGACTCAATTAAAGGGGACTCCTGCTTCTGTGAAGTAGCCATTGAACTGTTGAGTTTAGCCAGCAATAAATCTAAGAAAAACATGCCCTGAGGTCCCTTGACAGATGAGGATTTAATAAAAGGTGACAATGGGGGAGCCAGGCAGTGTGAATAAGTCCTCAAGGTGTTTTATCTTCTCAGAGATAAACATTTATAAACATTTCACAAAATTCAAACCAGGATTATTTCCCTTTTTTAAAAAAAAAAAGTTGTGTGTTTTTTTAAAAAATAATTTAAAAAAAGGCCACAGGATTTTTTTTAGGAAGTGCTGTTTAAAGATATAGGCTTCAACGGCCAAAATTGTCATGCATTTTACCTACATGCACACTACCAAGATAGAAAATAACTACAATTTTTATTATATCAAGTATCTTGTAACATTGTAGCCAGAACAAATCATGCAGAATTTCTAACATTTCACTGTAACAATTTCTTTCTTTTGTTGTCAGAAATAATTCTGGGGGTTGTTGTTTTTTTGCAGGAAGTTTCAGGGTTCCAAGATTTTTAACCATAGTGAATCAAATAAACAGTGACTATATGTCTTCCTCCTCTGGAAAATATTCTTGGGCTTAATAATCATAATTAAAACTTAGCTTTTTCAGACTAAATAATGAGTCCCTTAGGCATCAACTGAAAGAGCTCTACTTGTTTTATTCATTCCCTAAGGATTATTGCAGGATGACAGAAGTATCCTGTGTATTCCTGTTTTTTACCTTTCCTAATTTAAGCGGCATGTTAAGTAAATAAATGGTTTAAGCAATAATTGGACAGATTTATGGTGAGCAGTTTAGACTGCAGGAGCCATAAGAAGAAATAAATATCTCTTTCCCCATAGCAACTGCCCTAATAGAATTTTGAGTACCCTCTGTCTGCTTTTCTAAATAAAAACAACTACTAAACCATTGAAAAATCCAGTGACTCATTCTTTTGTGTGTGTGTGTGTGTGTGTGTGTGTGTTTGTGTGTCCCTTAACCTTAGGTAAGATGTGGATGTCCCCATTTGGCAGAGTCTACTTCAGGGTTAAACCCTGGGAAAAGCTATTTTCCTTCCTAAGCAGGGCTTTGCTTATTTCCCAAAATAGTCCATTGACAGTAAGTGATAGCTACAAATCATGACTCTATGATGCCCACAATGATCTGGAAATTCTGATGCAACTTTTTTTCCAATGCTTTGTGAAAAATGTCAAATGATCTCTACTGTTGCTGAGGATAAAGGTAATGTTTAGTTAAGGACTCCATCTTGGGGATTAATTAGCTATTTGAACTCAGAGATAATGCTCTTCTTTTCTGTAGTCTATGGGATCTCTTGGTCAGGCTGAAAATATAATGAGAACTCAGCCAATTAATGAAATTGGAACATCTTTCCAGTATTTATTTATTTATTTATTTATTTATTTATTTATTTATTTATTTATTTATTTATTTATATATTTATTTATTTATTTATTTATTTTGTGTTGCATAAGCAAACTGGGTGCCCTGGATATTATGGTTATTGGGTGATTTAGAAGTAAATAACTATGTCAACATTAAAGTATTGGCGAATAGCTTTGAGAACTTCCTTACTCCTTTAAAACTTGTTTGAAGATAATCTACCCATCTTCAAACACCACCTCCATCCACATCCATATTTTATAATATTTTATTTTTTTAAAAAGACCTACTGGTTCCTAAGAGGGATAATTGAAAATATAACACACTGAAAAGGGTGGAATGCAAGATAGGAAACTGGGAAGAGCTTCAAACCAGGAATTCCTGCAAATGGGGAATTGGTTTCTCAGAAGTTCCACAAGGCTGCAGCATTAAAGAAGTAAGCTTTATTATGACTTTAAGCACACTGCAACAGAGCGGGAATTAAACTGATATAGTTCTCAAACACAAAAAATGTTGTTGCATCACACAGATACAAAATTATTTTTGAATGGACAATATGTGTGAGAATTGACTGCTTTTTCTTCTTCACTCATATCTACTTGCTGTTTCCTACAGCTAGGACACTCTGTACAGCCAACTGCCAGCATTAGCTTCTTGCTTCTTATGGGATTTCTTTATTAATTTGGAAATAGTTCAGAACTTGTGTGGCCCCACAGTGTTAGCTGTGTGCAAAGGCTCAGCTGACTTATTTCTCATTTAGCTGCAACATATTTGAAACAACTGTAAGCCGGACATAGCAAGGCAGCAGAAATCAGGAAAGAAAATTTCCTGAGCCAATTAAGAAGATACTTATTGTTGTCCAGTTCACAGGTTTGGAAGAAACCTAATTAATATGAGAATAAAATCTCCAGTATTTTGTAATATGGTGAACTTTCTGTATAGCCTACATATATCTTCAGCCCCTCCCTATTCCAAATTAGATGAGAACTATTCGAGGGATCATCTGTCCTTGTGTCAGGTCAAATTATACTTCTACTGTTCCTTGAGAGATTCAATGTTAGGATGGCATATGTCCCATTCATTTATACTTTAACATTCATTCCGGCAGTTTTTACTTATTCAGATTCCTCATTATCAGCTATCTCATATCTTCTGTTCCCTCCCAATATTTCCAGCCATTTATTTTGATAGTCATAATAT